TTGAATTACTCAGGGACACAGAATTGTTACTGAGGGACAGAATTGAGGGCAGCACAGAATTGTTACTGAGGGACACAGAATTGTTACTGAGGGCACAGAATTGTTACAGGGACACAGAATTGTTACTCAGGACTCAGGGACACATAATCGTTGAATTAAAGAGTATGTCAGACAACATGCAGAGGAGTGGCAGAGGAGGCAATGTTTTAGGGAGCAGACGTGGCAGCAGAGGAAGGGGTCGAGGCAGCACTAGTCGCAGCCAGAGGCCATTGCTCCCGGTGTCATCCAGCGGTCGTGTCTCCACCGACAACCCTGCCGTCATCGATTGGTTGGCTCGGTCGTCTTCCTCTTCCCAGGTCACCTCTGACACCTACAGCCAACGGTCGGTGGGTACGTCAGACACAACCGTTAGTTGGCATGGCCCGGGAGCAAGCCCACTGAAATCACGTGTCCTCTACCTGCCCCTGTCCTTTGGTGTTCCCTCACCAAGCGAAGTATCGCATGCTGTGGGCTCAGCCCCACTGTACAGTGAGGAAGAGCTAACAGAGGGCGGTCAGGAACGGGGGGAGACATCCGCCTCTTCAGCAGCCAGGCGAAGAAGTAGTGGCGAGGAGAGTGGCTCGGTAGCCGGTCTAGAGACAGGTCTGTCTCCTGACCCACACGCAGCCGAGGGGGCTAGTAGTGAGGCGGAGACCCTAATTGATGATGATGAGGCTGATCGCACTTGGCAGCCTCGTCGTCATCAGGCTATTGCTTCCGCATCATCAGGAGAAGAGGGTGGCAGCTTGGCAGCGAGCAAAACAGTCGGTGGGTTGCCCAGGAGGCAGCAGGGTCGCAGCAGTGTCAGTGGAGGCAAACGGCCACGGAGTAGAGCACCAGCTCCACTGCAGCCTACCACCACGGCCAGTAGTGGTGCCGGTGTGCACGGAGGAAGTAGCAGTCAGCCAGTGAGGAGTATCGGGGGCAAAGTTTCCTACTCGGCGGTGTGGCAATTTTTCGTCAAGCCGCCCGAGGAAGTAAACGTAGCCGTATGTCGACTATGTGGCCAGAAAGTCAAGCGTGGCCAGGGGGCCCATGTTGGGACTACAGCGTTGCGGCAGCATATGCAGCGTCGCCATTTGGTGGCCTGGGAAAACCGTGATAAAGATACGGCGGTTCTGCCTGCCCCAGCCCCCGCTCCATCACCCGCTCCGTTACTTGCTCCGTCACCCGACGTCAATCGCCCTCTATCAGCCAGTCAAGGCTCCAACACCTCTGCTGAGGGGAGTTGTCGCTCGTTGGCATCTTCCGCTCGTTCAGATGCTCCTTCTCCTGCTACTCCTCTTCACGGATTCCGTCAGCAGTCTTTCTTGGAATCCGTTTCCAAGAGACAACAGTTTGCGAGCACGCACCCGACGGTGCAAAAGCTGAACGTCCTCCTGTCCAAGTTGCTGGTGCTGCAGTCCCTCCCTTTCCAAGTGGTGGACTCAGCACCTTTCCGAGAAATGATGGCTTGTGCCGCGCCGCGGTGGAGAGTGCCAAGCCGTCATTTCTTCGCCAAAAAGGCAGTGCCAGCCCTGCATTCACATGTAGAAGAGATGGTGGGCCAGTCTTTGAGCATGTCGGTCTCTGCCAAAGTGCACGGCAGCGCCGACGTGTGGAGCTGTAACTACGGTCAGGGACAGTACATGTCATTTACGGCCCACTGGGTGAACGTGGTGCCGGCACAGCCGCACCAGCAACTTGGACAGGTCACGCCGCTTTTGCCTCCACGTTTGCACGTCCTTGGTCCACAAAAGATGTCCGCCTCTACCACCTCTTCTTCCGCCGTGTCCTCAGCCGCCACCCCCGTGCCAAGTCCCATTACCCGACCGGCATATCACATGTGCAGGGCGCAACGGTGTCACGCTGTGCTGCACCTGGTATGCCTTGGCGAACGTAGTCACACAGGGGAGGAACTTCTGAGTGTAATGAACAGAGAAATCGACAGATGGCTGTCTCCGCGCAAACTGAAAATCGGAACCATGTTGACCGACAACGGAAAGAACATGGTGTCTGCTCTGCGTCAAGGAAGGTTGTGCCATGCGCCATGCATGGCTCACGTGTTCAATCTGGTTGTCAAGCGGTTCCTAAAATCCACCATCCCACTGCAAGACATCCTTAAAATGTCACGTAAACTTTGCATGCATTTCAGCCATTCCTACACCGCAAAGCACACCCTCCTTGAGCTGCAGCGGCAGAACGGAATTCCACAGCATCGCCTGATCTGCGACGTTGCAACAAGGTGGAATTCAACCCTACACATGTTAGACCGCCTTTACGAACAGCGAAAGGCCATCACCGATTTCCTGATGTTACAAGCGGATAAAGGTACTCCCCTGTGTAACTTCGATGTCAGCCATTGGCAGCTCATGCGTGACACCTGCCGCTTGCTCAGGCCCTTTGAGGAGGCCACGCTATTCGTGAGTCGGCAGGACTATGGGATGAACGACGTCATTCCTCTGTTGCACGTCCTGGAACAAATGCTGTTAACAATGGCTGGTCAGGGTGCGGTAGACGTGGCGCACAGATCTCAACGCCACATGACCCCTGTGGGGGCAGGACAGGAAGAAGAGGAGGAGGTAGAGGAGGACATTTGTGCTCAGGAATTATTGAGTGAAATGGGTGGTTTTTCCACTCAGCGGACAGGAGTGGAGGAGCAGGAGCATCTGGTAGAGGAGGAGGAGGAGGAGACAGAGGACCCAGACGCACCGTGGCAGTATGCTGTGGAGATGGAGGCAGGGAGTCCCTCGCATTCCTTGGCACAAATGGCCCATAGCATGCTCGGTTGCTTGCGTAGCGACAGCCGAATAATAACCATCAGACAGAGGGATGACTTTTGGCTGTCCACCTTGTTGGACCCTCGCTACCGTTCAAAAATGGTGGCCTTTTTCACACCTGCTGAGAGGGAGGCCAAAATAACGTACTATAAAAACCACCTATGTAGTCAGTTGGTCTCTGCCTTTGTGCGCCAACGTCCATCCTCAGACACTGTGGGCCCTGTGCGCTCGCGTTCCGCTGCCATGGCAGCAGGGGAGGGGTGGGGGTGGTAGGAGCAGTGGCAGCTCCACCAGCAGCGGCTGCCTCAGTCTGCAGTCGATGATGAGTAGCTTTCTTCACCAGCGCAGTGAGGAAACTACTAACCAGCCGCAGCAGCAGCAGCATCAGGTGGACCTGGAGCAGGACCTCAAACAACAGGCTTGGGCCTACTTGGACAGCACCCTGCCAACCGAGGTAGACAATCCCCTTGACTACTGGGCAACGAAACTTGACCTTTGGCCCCAACTAGCTGAATTTGCCCTTGAAAGGCTGTCATGCCCGGCCAGTAGCGTGGCATCGGAGCGCGCGTGTTTAGTGCGGCAGGAGGTATTGTAACTCCGCGGAGGACACGACTGTCCACCCAAAGTGTGGAGAGACTCACGTTTGTGAAAATGAATCAGGCGTGGATTAGTCTGGATTTCAAACCACCAGTTCCTGACACAACTGACTAAATCCGCCATGAATCATGCCCCAAACATGTGCCACTTTCAGGTCTCCTCACACTGCTGGTGTGTTCCATTTTTTGTCATAGGGTGCTGGCAGATTACGGGCCTCCCATGCTGCTGCCAGGCCCGTAATCTGCCATGGGCCCCTGTACCGCCTCCTCATGCTGCTGCCAGGTCCAGAGTCTCTCATGGGTCCCTGTACGGCCTCCCATTGCTGCTGTCTCCATCGCCACACTCTGCCATGTGCCACTTTCAGGTCTCCTCACACACTGCTGGTGTGTTCCATTTTTTGTCATAGGGTGCTGGCAGATTACGGGCCTCCCATTGCTGCTGCCAGGCCCCTAATCTGCCATGGGCCCCCCTGTACCGCCTCCTCATGCTGCTGCCAGGTCCAGAGTGTCTCATGGGTCCCTGTACGGCCTCCCATTGCTGTGTCTCCATGCCACACTCTGCCATGTGCCACTTTCAGGTCTCCTCACACTGCTGGTGTGTTCCATTTTTTGTCATAGGGTGCTGGCAGATTACGGGCCTCCCATTGCTGCTGCCAGGCCCCTAATCTGCCATGGGCCCCTGTACCGCCTCCTCATGCTGCTGCCAGGTCCAGAGTCTCTCATGGGTCCCTGTACGGGCCTCCCATTGCTGCTGTCTCCATCGCCACACTCTGCCATGTGCCACTTTCAGGTCTCCTCACACACTGCTGGTGTGTGTTCATTTTTTGTCATAGGGTGCTGGCAGATTACGGGCCTCCCATGCTGCTGCTGCTGCCAGGCCCCTAATCTGCCATGGGCCCCTGTACCGCCTCCTCATGCTGCTGCCAGGTCCAGAGTCTCTCATGGGTCCCTGTACGGCCTCCCATTGCTGCTGTCTCCATCGCCACACTCTGCCATGTGCCACTTTCAGGTCTCCTCACACACTGCTGGTGTGTTCCATTTTTTGTCATAGGGTGCTGGCAGATTACGGGCCTCCCATTGCTGCTGCTGCCAGGCCCCTAATCTGCCATGGGCCCCTGTACCGCCTCCTCTCATGCTGCTGCCAGGTCCCAGTGTCTCTCATGGGTCCCTGTACGGCCTCCCATTGCTGCTGTCTCCATCGCCACACTCTGCCATGTGCCACTTTCAGGTCTCCTCACACACTGCTGGTGTGTTCCATTTTTTGTCATAGGGTGCTGGCAGATTACGGGCCTCCCATTGCTGCTGCCAGGCCCCTAATCTGCCATGGGCCCCTGTACCGCCTCCTCATGCTGCTGCCAGGTCCACAGTGTCTCATGCCATGTGCCACTTTAGGTCTCCTCACACTGCTGGTGTGTTCCATTTTGTCTCCATCGCCACACTCTGCCATGTGCCACTTTCAGGTCTCCTCACACTGCTGGTGTGTTCCATTTTTTGTCATAGGGTGCTGGCAGATTACGGGCCTCCCATTGCTGCTGCCAGGCCCCTAATCTGCCATGGGCCCCTGTACCCGCCTCCTCATGCTGCTGCCAGGTCCCAGTGTCTCTCATGGGTCCCTGTACGGCCTCCCATTGCTGCTGTCTCCATCGCCACACTCTGCCATGTGCCACTTTCAGGTCTCTCACACACTGCTGGTGTGTTCCATTTTTTTTTGTCATAGGGTGCTGGCAGATTACGGGCCTCCCATGCTGCTGCCAGGCCCCTAATCTGCCATGGGCCCCTGTACCGCCTCCTCATGCTGCTGCCAGGTCCAGAGTCTCCATGGGTCCCTGTCCACATTGTGTCCATCGCCACACTCATGCCATGTGCCACTTTCAGGTCTCCTCACACTGCTGGTGTGTTCCATTTTTTGTCATAGGGTGCTGGCAGATTACGGGCCTCCCATTGCTGCTGCCAGGCCCCTAATCTGCCATGGGCCCCTGTACCGCCCGCCTCTCATGCTGCTGCCAGGTCCAGAGTGTCTCTCATGGGTCCCTGTACGGCCTCCCATTGCTGCTGTCTCCATCGCCACACTCTGCCATGTGCCACTTTCAGGGTCTCCTCACACTGCTGCTGGTGTGTTCCATTTTTTGTCATAGGGTGCTGGCAGATTACGGGCCTCCCATTGCTGCTGCCAGGCCCCTAATCTGCCATGGGCCCCCTGTACCGCCTCCTCATGCTGCTGCCAGGTCCACAGTGTCTCATGGGCCCTGTACGGCCTCCCATTGCTGCTGTCTCCATCATCCACACTCTGCCATGTGCCACTTTCAGGTCTCCTCACACTGCTGGTGTGTTCCATTTTTTGTCATAGGGTGCTGGCAGATTACGGGCCTCCCATTGCTGCTGCCAGGCCCCTAATCTGCCATGGGCCCCTGCGCCTCCTCATGCTGCTGCCAGGTCCACAGTGTCTCATGGGTCCCTGTACGGCCTCCCATTGCTGCTGTCTCCATCGCCACACTCTGCCATGTGCCACTTTCAGGTCTCCTCACACACTGCTGGTGTGTTCCATTTTTTGTCATAGGGTGCTGGCAGATTACGGGCCTCCCATAGCTGCTGCCAGGCCCCTAATCTGCCATGGGCCCCTGTACCGCCTCCTCATGCTGCTGCCAGGTGTCTCTCATGGGTCCCTGTACGGCCTCCCATTGCTGCTGTCTCCATCGCCACACTCTGCCATGTGCCACTTTCAGGTCTCCTCACACTGCTGGTGTGTTCCATTTTTTGTCATAGGGTGCTGGCAGATTACGGGCCTCCCATTGCTGCTGCCAGGCCCCTAATCTGCCATGGGCCCCTGTACCGCCTCCTCATGCTGCTGCCAGGTCCAGAGTCTCTCATGGGTCCCTGTACGGCCTCCCATTGCTGCTGTCTCCATCGCCACACTCTGCCATGTGCCACTTTCAGGTCTCCTCACACACTGCTGGTGTGTGTTCCATTTTTTGTCATAGGGTGCTGGCAGATTACGGGCCTCCCATTGCTGCTGCCAGGCCCCTAATCTGCCATGGGCCCCTGTACCGCCTCCTCATGCTGCTGCCAGGTCCCAGTGTCTCTCATGGGTCCCTGTACGGCCTCCCATTGCTGCTGTCTCCATCGCCACACTCTGCCATGTGCCACTTTCAGGTCTCCTCACACTGCTGGTGTGTTCATTTTTTTTTTTTGTCATAGGGTGCTGGCAGATTACGGGCCTCCCATTGCTGCTGCCAGGCCCCTAATCTGCCATGGGCCCCTGTACCGCCTCCTCATGCTGCTGCCAGGTCCACAGTGTCTCATGGGTCCCTGTACGGCCTCCCATTGCTGCTGTCTCCATCGCCACACTCTGCCATGTGCCACTTTCAGGTCTCCTCTGCTGGTCTCCTCACACACTGCTGGTGTGTCCCATTTTTCATAGGGTGCTGGCAGATTACGGGCCTCCCATAGCTGCTGCCAGGCCCCTAATCTGCCATGGGCCCCTGTACCGCCTCCTCATGCTGCTGCCAGGTCCACAGTCTCTCATGGGTCCCTGTACGGCCTCCATTGCTGCTGTCTCCATCGCCACACTCTGCCATGTGCCACTTTCAGGTCTCCTCACACTGCTGGTGTGTTCCATTTTTTGTCATAGGGTGCTGGCAGATTACGGGCCTCCCATTGCTGCTGCCAGGCCCCTAATCTGCCATGGGCCCCTGTACCGCCTCCTCATGCTGCTGCCAGGTCCAGAGTCTCTCATGGGTCCCTGTACGGCCTCCCATTGCTGCTGTCTCCATCGCCACACTCTGCCATGTGCCACTTTCAGGTCTCCTCACACTGCTGGTGTGTTCCATTTTTTGTCATAGGGTGCTGGCAGATTACGGGCCTCCCATTGCTGCTGCCAGGCCCCTAATCTGCCATGGGCCCCTGTACCGCCTCCTCATGCTGCTGCCAGGTCCAGAGTCTCTCATGGGTCCCTGTACGGCCCCATTGCTGCTGTCTCCATCGCCACACTCTGCCATGTGCCACTTTCAGGTCTCTCTCACACACTGCTGGTGTGTTCCATTTTTTGTCATAGGGTGCTGGCAGATTACGGGCCTCCCATAGCTGCTGCCAGGCCCCTAATCTGCCATGGGCCCCTGTACCGCCTCCTCATGCTGCCAGGTCCCAGAGTCTCTCATGGGCCCCTGTCCCATTGTGTCTCATGCCACTCTGTGCCACTTTCAGGTCTCTCCTCACACTGCTGGTGTGTTCCATTTTTTTGTCATAGGGTGCTGGCAGATTACGGGCCTCCCATTGCTGCTGCCAGGCCCCTAATCTGCCATGGGCCCCTGTACCGCCTCCTCATGCTGCTGCCAGGTCCAGTGTCTCATGGGTCCCTGTACGGCCTCCCATTGCTGCTGTCTCCATCGCCACACTCTGCCATGTGCCACTTTCAGGTCTCCTCACACACTGCTGGTGTGTTCCATTTTTTGTCATAGGGTGCTGGCAGATTACGGCTCCCATAGCTGCTGCCAGGCCCCTAATCTGCCATGGGCCCCTGTACCGCCTCCTCATGCTGCTGCCAGGTCCAGGTCTCTCATGGGTCACACGGCCTCCCATTGCTGTGTCTCATGCCATGTGCCATGTGCCACTTTCAGGTCTCTCCTCACACTGCTGGTGTGTTCCATTTTTTGTCATAGGGTGCTGGCAGATTACGGGCCTCCCATTGCTGCTGCCAGGCCCCCTAATCTGCCATGGGCCCCTGTACCGCCTCCTCATGCTGCTGCAGGTCCAGGTCCAGAGTCTCTCATGGGTCCCTGTACGGCCCCCATTGCTGCTGTCTCCTTTCGCCACACTCTGTGGTGTGTGCCATTTTTTTCAGGTCTCTCACACACTGCTGGTGTGTTCCATTTTTTGTCATAGGGTGCTGGCAGATTACGGGCCTCCCATTGCTGCTGCCAGGCCCCTAATCTGCCATGGGCCCCTGTACCGCCTCCTCATGCTGCTGCCAGGTCCACAGTGTCTCATGCCATGTGCCACTTTCAGGTCTCCTCACACACACTGCTGGTGTGTTCCATTTTTTGTCATAGGGTGCTGGCAGATTACGGGCCTCCCATTGCTGCTGCCAGGCCCCTAATCTGCCATGGGCCCCTGTACCGCCTCCTCATGCTGCTGCCAGGTCCACAGTGTCTCATGGGTCCCTGTACGGCCTCCCATTGCTGCTGTCTCCATCGCCACACACTCTGCCATGTGCCACTTTCAGGTCTCCTCACACACTGCTGGTGTGTTCCATTTTTTGTCATAGGGTGCTGGCAGATTACGGGCCTCCCATAGCTGCTGCCAGGCCCCTAATCTGCCATGGGCCCCTGTACCGCCTCCTCATGCTGCTGCCAGGTCCCAGGTCTCTCATGGGTCCCTGTACGGCCTCCCATTGCTGCTGTCTCCATGCCATGTGCCACTTTCAGGTCTCCTCACACTGCTGGTGTGTTCCATTTTTTGTCATAGGGTGCTGGCAGATTACGGGCCTCCCATTGCTGCTGCCAGGCCCCTAATCTGCCATGGGCCCCTGTACCGCCTCCTCATGCTGCTTGCCAGGTCCAGAGTCTCTCATGGGTCCCTGTACGGCCTCCCATTGCTGCTGTCTCCATCGCCACACTCTGCCATGTGTGCCACTTTCAGGTCTCCTCACACTGCTGGTGTGTTCCATTTTTTGTCATAGGGGGTGCTGGCAGATTACGGGCCTCCCATTGCTGCTGCCAGGCCCCTAATCTGCCATGGGCCCCTGTACCGCCTCCTCATGCTGCTGCCAGGTCCACAGTCTCTCATGGGTCCCTGTACGGCCTCCCATTGCTGCTGTCTCCATCGCCACACTCTGCCATGTGCCACTTTCAGGTCTCCTCCTCACACTGCTGGTGTGTTCCATTTTTTGTCATAGGGTGCTGGCAGATTACGGGCCTCCCATTGCTGCTGCAGGCCCCTAATCTGCCATGGGCCCCTGTACCGCCTCCTCATGCTGCTGCCAGGTCCAGAGTGTCTCATGGGTCCCTGTACGGCCTCCCATGCTGCTGCTGTCTCCATCGCACACACTCTGCCATGTGCCACTTTCAGGTCTCCTCACACACTGCTGGTGTGTGTTCCATTTTTTTGTCATAGGGTGCTGGCAGATTACGGGCCTCCCATTGCTGCTGCCAGGCCCCTAATCTGCCATGGGCCCCTGTACCGCCTCCTCATGCTGCTGCCAGGTCCAGAGTGTCTCATGGGTCCCTGTACGGCCTCCCATTGCTGCTGTCTCCATCGCCACACTCTGCCATGTGCCACTTTCAGGTCTCCTCACACTGCTGGTGTGTTCCATTTTTTTGTCATAGGGTGCTGGCAGATTACGGGCCTCCCATTGCTGCTGCCAGGCCCCTAATCTGCCATGGGCCCCTGTACCGCCTCCTCATGCTGCTGCCAGGTCCACAGTCTCTCATGGGTCCCTGTACGGCCTCCCATTGCTGCTGTCTCCATCGCCACACTCTGCCATGTGCCACTTTCAGGTCTCCTCACACACTGCTGGTGTGTTCCATTTTTTGTCATAGGGTGCTGGCAGATTACGGGCCTCCCATTGCTGCTGCCAGGCCCTAATCTGCCATGGGCCCCTGTATGGGCCCCTGTACCGCCTCCTCATGCTGCTGCCAGGTCCAGAGTCTCTCATGGGTCCCTGTACGGCCTCCCATTGCTGCTGTCTCCATCGCCACACTCTGCCATGTGCCACTTTCAGGTCTCCTCACACACTGCTGGTGTGTTCATTTTTTTTTTTGTCATAGGGTGCTGGCAGATTACGGGCCTCCCATTGCTGCTGCCAGGCCCCTAATCTGCCATGGGCCCCTGTACCGCCTCCTCATGCTGCTGCCAGGTCCACAGTCTCTCATGGGTCCCTGTACGGCCTCCCATTGCTGCTGTCTCCATCGCCACACTCTGCCATGTGCCACTTTCAGGTCTCCTCACACTGCTGGTGTGTTCCATTTTTTGTCATAGGGGCTGGCAGATTACGGGCCTCCCATTGCTGCTGCCAGGCCCCTAATCTGCCATGGGCCCCCTGTGTACCGCCTCCTCATGCTGCTGCCAGGTCCAGTCAGTCTCATCATGGGTCCCCTGTACGGCCTCCCATTGCTGCTGTCCTCCATCGCCACACTCTGCCATGTGCCACTTTCAGGTCTCCTCACACACTGCTGGTGTGTGTTCCATTTTTTGTCATAGGGTGCTGGCAGATTACGGGCCTCCCATTGCTGCTGCCAGGCCCCTAATCTGCCATGGGCCCCTGTACCGCCTCCTCATGCTGCTGCCAGGTCCAGAGTCTCTCATGGGTCCCTGTACGGCCTCCCATTGCTGCTGTCTCCATCGCCACACTCTGCCATGTGCCACTTTCAGGTCTCCTCACACTGCTGGTGTGTTCCATTTTTTGTCATAGGGTGCTGGCAGATTACGGGCCTCCCATTGCTGCTGCCAGGCCCCTAATCTGCCATGGGCCCCTGTACCGCCTCCTCATGCTGCTGCCAGGTCCAGAGTGTCTCATGGGTCCCTGTACGGCCTCCCATTGCTGCTGTCTCCATCGCCACACTCTGCCATGTGCCACTTTCAGGTCTCCCACACACTGCTGGTGTGTTCCATTTTTTGTCATAGGGTGCTGGCAGATTACGGGCCTCCCATTGCTGCTGCCAGGCCCCTAATCTGCCATGGGCCCCTGTACCGCCTCCTCATGCTGCTGCTGCCAGGTGCTCATGGGTCCCTGTCCGGCCTCCCAGTGTGTCTCCATCATGCCACTCTGCCATGTGCCACTTTCAGGTCTCCTCACACTGCTGGTGTGTTCCATTTTTTGTCATAGGGTGCTGGCAGATTACGGGCCTCCCATTGCTGCTGCCAGGCCCCTAATCTGCCATGGGCCCCTGTACCGCCTCCTCATGCTGCTGCCAGGTCCACAGTGTCTCATGGGTCCCTGTACGGCCTCCCATTGCTGCTGTCTCCATCGCCACACTCTGCCATGTGCCACTTTCAGGTCTCTCACACACTGCTGGTGTGTTCCATTTTTTTTGTCATAGGGTGCTGGCAGATTACGGGCCTCCCATAGCTGCTGCCAGGGCCCCTAATCTGCCATGGGCCCTGTGTACCGCCTCCTCATGCTGCTGTCTCTCAGGTCCCACAGTGTGTCATGCCTGCCATGTGCCACTTTCAGGTCTCCTCACACTGCTGGTGTGTTCCATTTTTTGTCATAGGGTGCTGGCAGATTACGGGCCTCCCATTGCTGCTGCCAGGCCCCTAATCTGCCATGGGCCCCTGTACCGCCTCCTCATGCTGCTGCCAGGTCCACAGTGTCTCATGGGTCCCTGTACGGCCTCCCATTGCTGCTGCTGTCTCCATCGCCACACTCTGCCATGTGCCACTTTCAGGTCTCCTCACACTGCTGGTGTGTTCCATTTTTTGTCATAGGGTGCTGGCAGATTACGGGCCTCCCATAGCTGCTGCTGCCATGGGGCCCCTAATCTGCCATGGGCCCCTGTACCGCCTCCTCATGCTGCTGCCAGGTCCACAGTGTGTCATGCCATGTGCCACTTTCAGGTCTCCTCACACTGCTGGTGTGTTCCATTTTGTCATAGAGTGCTGGCAGATTACGGGCCTCCCATTGCTGCTGCCAGGCCCCTAATCTGCCATGGGCCCCTGTACCACCTCCTCATGCTGCTGCCAGGTCCACAGTGTCTCATGGGTCCCTGTACGGCCTCCCATTGCTGCTGTCTCCATCGCCACACTCTGCCATGTGCCACTTTCAGGTCTCCTCACACTGCTGGTGTGTTCCATTTTTTGTCATAGGGTGCTGGCAGATTACGGGCCTCCCATTGCTGCTGCCAGGCCCGTAATCTGCCATGGGCCCCCTGTACCGCCTCCTCATGCTGCTGCCAGGTCCAGAGTCTCTCATGGGTCCCTGTACGGCCTCCCATTGCTGCTGTCTCCATCGCCACACTCTGCCATGTGCCACTTTCAGGTCTCCTCACACTGCTGGTGTGTTCCATTTTTTGTCATAGGGTGCTGGCAGATTACGGGCCTCCCATTGCTGCTGCCAGGCCCCTAATCTGCCATGGGCCCCTGTACCGCCTCCTCCTCCCCATTGCTGCTGTGCCAGGAGGCAGCGGGGTCGCAGCAGTGTCAGTGGAGGCAAAACGGTCACGGAGTAGAGCACCAGCTCCACTGCAGCCTACCACCACGGCCACTTTCAGTAGTGGTGCCGGTGTGCACAGAGGAAGTAGCAGTCAGCCAGTGAGGAGTAGCGGGGGCAAAGTTTCCTACTCGGCGGTGTGGCAAATTTTTCGTCAAGCCACCCGAGGAAGTAAACGTCCCGTATATGCTCGACTATGTGGCCAGAAAGTCAAGCGTGGCCAGGGGGTCCCATGTTGGGACTACAGCGTTGCGTCAGCATATGCAGCGTCGCCATTCGGTGGCCTGGGAAAAACCGTGATAAAGATGCCACGGCGGTTCTGCCTCCCAGCCCAGGGTTCCATTTTTTGTCATAGGGTGCTGGCAGATTACGGGCCTCCCATTGCTGCTGCCAGGCCCTTAATCTGCCATGGGCCCCTGTACCGCCTCCTCATGCTGCTGCCAGGTCCACAGTGTCTCATGGGTCCCTGTACCGCTTCCCATTGCTGCTGTCTCCATCGCCACACTCTGCCATGTGCCACTTTCAGGTCTCCTCACACTGCTGGTGGGTTTCCATTTTGTCATAGGGTGCTGTATGGCCTCCCATTGCTGCTGCCAGGCCCGTAATCTGCCATGGGCCCCCGTACCGACTCCTCATGCTGCTGCCAGGCCCGTAATCTGTCATGGGCCCCTGTTGTCGCTTGTTGGCATATTCCGCTCGTTCAGATGCTCCTTCTCCTGCTACTCCTCTTCACGGATTCCGTCAGCAGTCTTTCTTGGAATCCGTTTCCAAGAGAGACAACAGTTTGCGAGCACGCACCCGACGGTGCAGAAGCTCAACGTCCCTCCTGTCCAAGTTGCTGCTGCCAGGCTTCGTAATCTGTCATGCGCCCCTGTACCGCCTCCTCATGCTGCTGCCAGGTCCAGAGTGTGTCATGGGCCCCCGTACCGACTCCTCATGCTGCTGCCAGGCCCGTAATCTGTCATGGGCCCCTGTACCTCCTCCTCATGCTGCTGCCAGGTCCAGAGTGTGTCATGGGTCCCTGTACGGCCTCCCATAGCTGCTGCCAGGCCCGTAATCTGCCATGGGCCCCCTGTACCGCCTCCTCATGCTGCTGCCAGGTCCAGAGTGTCTCATGGGTCCCTGTACGGCCTCCCATTGCTGCTGTCTCCATCGCCACACTCTGCCATGTGCCACTTTCAGGTCTCCTCACACTGCTGGTGGGTTCCATTTTGTCATAGGGTGCTGTATGGCCTCCCATTGCTGCTGCCTCCACCGCCACACTGTGGCTCCACACTCTGGTTTTGGCCCCGTGACTGCCCAAATGAGTGAAGTGTGCGGTGATTCTAAGATCGACGGCACTCATCTGCATGTCATACTGACTGATAGTGTTATTTCTCTTCCCCAGCAGACTCCAAGGGCAGTTAAATTAAAGGTACAGTGTTCTGCACTAATATAAAGGCTCTCTGAAGCCTAGAAACACCCTTTTATAAGTTAAATTCGCAGCGAATATATTCGACTCGAATCAAAATTTTTTCACGAATTCGCCGAATCAGTCGACTCGAATTTTTGAATAATTCGCTCATCTCTAGTTACAACACTGGGATTGGAGGGTTATTTGCAATGTGACAGGTATTATTGAATTATCTATATTTAATGGATGTTTGTGACTCACATTAGCACTGGAAGATTGGGTACAAGTCCCTAACGCACTTTATTTTACGTTATTTATTTTTAGTTTATATAATAGCACTGGCAATCACAAGTGCACAACTAAAGGCAAAACTTTTTTTTTTTTTTAATTTTGGATAGAGTGCAGAGGGACTAGACCCCCTGTCAGGTTTTTATTTTTTGTCTGCGCCCCAGTTAACCTCCCTAGTGGTCTGATTATTTCAGATTTTTGGTGCTGAAAGTGGTACCATTATTTTGCATGGAAATATGTAGTTTTTTTATTGTAGGCTGTAATTTTTAGGAATAACTCACTGAAATCTGTCCGAACAAGAGTCTATTAAACATCCCGGGTATGATAAAATTTTAAACACAAAATCATAAATTATAATTTAATAAATAATCATAAAAAAAATAATAATATAATAATAATACATTTAATTCAATAATATAATCAAACCAAAAACACTGAAATTTGAAATATAGCACCAAGTTCGCACATTGCTGAGCAAAGTCGCAAAATCGTTTTCAGTGTGTGATGACGAATTTCCCCACGAATCATCACTCAATTCTGCAAGTGGTTCTGATTTACTATCGCTGTTCTCTATCTGATCTAAACTCGCTTTTGACCTAAAGGGACACTTTTTGGATGCCATGGACTTTTCTCAGTTTCCAGGCAGAAAGAACAGACAAAATGCAGACAGGGCACAGGACAAAGCACTCGGGACAAAATGTATGTGAAATGGGTTGAAACAGCAATGTTTTACTATGTAAAATTTGTTTGGAAAAAAATGACATTTTTTAAAATTTTCAAATTTCCTGCCGGCAGCGGCGGCGGCGCCCGTATGTCCCGACGTCACAGGGACTGGAACACAGAAGCCGGATGCCGGCATCGGCCGGAGGAGATGGCTGGGGACGCTGCAGGGGACACATCACGGGAGCGCAGGACAAGGTAAGCTCTGCAGGGACTCCCTATGCAGCGCTGCATGGTAAGCCCGAGTGTAGCTCGGGGTTACCGCTTTTGGCACTGACATTTTACCCCGAGCTACACTCGGGAATACCGCTAGGGAGGTTAAGGAGATTCCCTTGCTCTATTTGTCCTGTTTACCATTATCACTGAAAGTGAAAGCAAAAGAAAATCCCAGATTTTGGGTTGTCCCCAGAAAAGTAATAGAGGGGAAATCTTCCCATTGAGACACTAGCTCTGGGGGTCCCCAAGGAATTTCCTTAATCTGTAGGGATTTCCTCTCACTTGCTGTTTTGGTTATGGGACAGGGAGTGAATGGGAAATCTCCCCAATGGGACACAGATGGCGAAAAAAAACTATAACCCTCCCTTGCTCTATCCAAAATGAAAAAAAAAATGCATTTTGCCTATAGTGCTACTTTAATAAGGATACATATTATGTTATGTTGTTTGGAAGAGGGCTTTTAGATCATTAAGGGCCTTCAATAACATGCACACATTTTTGGCACATGTTTATTTGAGTTCATTACACACTAAGAGGATTAACAGCCACACAATCACTGCATGCAAAGAAACAAAAAAGAGGGCGCACCGCCCTTGTGCATTACCTTTACAAATTAATTTATTGTATAAAAGGTGGTGATATACTCACAAAGGATACAATATCAAAAGGCACATCATGTGAAGTACAGCTTGATCCAATCAAACTGGATGATATCTG